GCTGGCTTGCAAAAAATTTAAGAAGTGTGTTTGAAGATCAGTTTTTATACAGTTTGGTTAGGTGACAGTGGAAGTCTTTGCCCCATTCCTGCATGCCTCACATGGACCACAGCCCCTGTGGCATTTTAGGAGTTCTGTAGTTTGGAAAGGTTCTTAGAATCTTCCTCATCTGCAGAGATCTGAGGTACACTGGAGCAAGGTCCCTACTTTGCAGCTTATAAAGTCAACAGACCTTCACTTGACACTTGCATGGCTTTACAAGGTCTTCAGGGGAGGCAGCCTTTCTTATTGTGGGTCTCATTTGTTTTGCTGTAGTTCAGGGGTGGCCAACCCGTTCCAGATGAAGAGCCACAATAGCAGTGGAGACAGGTGCTGTGCTGGGGGAAAATAGGTGCTGGTACATCTACCCCAGGACATGGCTTTTTTTGGTTAACAACTTTTCCCCGGGTCTTTGCGGCCCTGACCCTTTTTGTTCACCAACTTTGCCCCAGTTCTTCACGCTGTCTCCACTGCGTGGCTCACAAAAAAAGCACTGGGAAGGGGTGAGAGGTGCAAGCTCTGGGAGGGAATTTGGGTGCAGAAAGGAGAAGAGGATGCTGGCTCAGGGAGGGAGCTCTAGGCTGGAGAGTGTTGGGGTCGGGGTAGGATTGGGGTGCTGAGCGAGCTGCAGGCTTGTGGCTGTGAGGGTGTAGGAGTTTGGGCTGGGGTGCATGAGGGGCTCAGGGCAGGGAGGCTGGGAGTATGATGGGCTCAGGACATAGATTTGCAGTGTGTGGATGGTGCAGGAGTGTTGTGGCAGAAGACTGGGGATGTGGGGATGCAGGAGTTTGGGGATGTGAGAGGCTCAGGACAGGGGGTTCCAGTGTATGATAAACTCAGATTTGGGGTTGGGGGGTGGTATAGGAGTTATGATTCTGTGGCCAGATGGGGGCTTGGCCCCAATTGTGGGCTTGTTGGCCAGGCTTCATTTTTAAATAAAATATTATGTCGAACACAAAATGCTTCAGTATTGTCTTGATGAGAAGGGCAGGAAACCTGTTTTGAGTCAGGGGTCACTGACCCACAGAAAAGTCAGTCAGGTACACACAAGTGAGATGCAAAAAAACAACCGCTCCAAAACCCCCCGAGCCTCACTAATGTGGCCCCAATGTGCTGATGGGGACAGGGTGCTGGGGCAGGCTGCTGGGGGGGGAAAGAAAAATTATTATGCCCATTTTACAGATTGGGAATAGAGACTCAACAATTACATTTCTTGGCCAGGATCAATAATTTTGTAACAAAGATGTGGAAAAGGCCCAGTGCAGCATAAAGAAGCCCTAAATACCCAGGGCCACCGATGGGGGTGGAGACAAAAGAGGCAGCCGCCCCAGACTTGGTGATTTAAAATAACCCAGGGCTCCTGGCTGCC